CACTACTTACACTATGGCTACGCACGGCAAGATGTCGGCATTCGATGGTTCCAAGGAATCTTGGACTTCTTACTCCGAGAGACTTGACTTCTACTTCAAGGCTAACAAGATTACAGCAGCAGAATCTCAGAAAGCAGTCTTTATTACTGTGATAGGACCTAGGACGTACGGGGTAAAACATCACTGTTATTTTTGTCATGATACGAGTAAAATTAAGATCATTGTAATTAATGCTGTAATTGCAAGGTATTGCCATTGTAATTGTAATTGAGTGTCTCATCTATGGCAGTAATTGTAATTGTAATTGAACTGGTTTTAGTTGCTTTGGTAGTAATTGTAATTGAAATGAAATTTTATAATTGACCCCAAGCCTGATACAAACCTTCAGGCCTGATCCTAGCTCTTCTCTTTATGGGGAGCAATTTTGTTGCCACGGTGATGGGCAGGGACTTTATGTCAGCTGCAGAGCAAGAGCTAGACCTTGTGAAAATTGTTAACGAGGAGGTGTGTCTAATAGTTAATTAATAACGGTTAATAACTGATTATTAATTGCTAGGTTAAGGGTAATACTCCAGTGCTATTGTGTTCAGTTCCTGGTTATGATGCTAGCAGTCGTGTTGATGATTTATCAGCATCACAGAACAAGCAGTGTACATCAATTGCTATTGGATCTGCTGAAGGATTTAATCTTGCAGAGAAAGGAATTTCATCAGCTTCAAAGACTGGAAGGTAGAGAGTTTAGTAATATTAACACTTATTTATTATTGTTGTAAATATTGTTATAAATTAATATATCGTTGTTGTAATTATTTGTATGAATAATACTAGTTTATTTATCATTATAAATATTAATGTATTGTTATTATTATTATTATTATTTCTTTTCTTAAGATGGGTCATATTGAAGAACGTCCATTTGGCTACCCAGTGGCTAGTATCACTAGAGAAGAAGCTCCATTCTCTCTCACCTCATGCCAGTTTCCGTCTCTTCCTAACAATGGAGATTAATCCTAAGGTAAGCCACGCCTTTTTATACAGCCTTAACCACACCCATATTTTAACCACACCCATATCTTAACCACACCCATATTTTAACCACACCCATATCTTAACCACACCCACTTTAGATCCTCGTTAATCCTTTGAGAACCTCACAGATCCTGACGTTTGAGCCTCCGCCTGGAATCAAGGCCAACCTGATCCGAACCTTTGCTACAGTACCAGTTACTGGAATGTATAGGGAGCCACACGCCATACTTACTGGCATGGCTACACGCCATATTACAAGGTACATGTACATATGTATTGAAATGTAAACACACTTACATGTATATGTGTGTGGGACAGTATTTAATTGTTACGATGAGTTTTCACCTCTGAGAACTTGAGAGTACCATAATCTCCATTCCAGTATAACCAAGTAACTCCTTGAGTATTAATAGTTGGAGTATTAAAATAATGACCATTAAGATTTGAATTAAGGCAGTCATTATACCACCAGGCACAGATATCTTAGTTTCTATAATATTTTCTGATACATATACATGTACTTATGTTGTATGTTGTGTAGAAAGTTTGAGCTGATTCCAATCAAACTTAGATTTTTTATGAATTTTTAAAGTTGCTTAAAAATTGGGTCAAAGTCCCTGTACTATAGTACATGAGTGTTGGCCAAATTTTGTGAAAATTGAAAAGGAAAGAAATCTTAGTTTTTATAATATTTTCTGATGTGTATACATACATGTACTTATGTTGTGTAGAAAGTTTGAGCTGATTCCGATCAAAATTAAATTTTTTGTGAATTTTTAAAGTTGCTTAAAAATCGGGTAAAAGTCCCTGTTATAGTACAGGGGTGTTGGCCAAATTTTGCCAAAATTGAAAAAGAAAGAGATATCTTAGTTTTTATAATATTTTCTTATGTTGTGTAGCAGGTTTGAGCTCATTCCGATTGAAATTGGATTTTTTATGAATTTTTTAATTTGCTTAAAAATCGGGTCAAAGTCCCTGTACTATAGTACAAGGGTGTTGGCCAAATTTTGCCAAAATTGAAAAGGAGAGAAATCTCAGTTTTTATAATATTATCTGATGCATATACATGTACATGTACTTATGTTGTGTAGCATGTTTGAGCTGACTCTGATCAAAATTCGATTTTTATGAATTTTAAAAGTTACTCAAAAATTTGTTTAAAACATGATTATTGACAAAATAATGTAATGAGATGCAAATGATATTCACGAGCATAATACTCAATGCAACATCATGGGGGCCTCTCTAAGTCACTAGAACAATTGCAACATGTGGAGTTAACTTCAATTAATTAACTGTTACTACTACATGTATATCCTTGCTTGTTTGGAATGAGTCAAATGTTTAATTGTTTATAGCGTATAGCGGGAAATTTTGCAGGGACTAAAATTTGGCAAATTGCTAAATTTTGGCGATTAG